GTTCATGGAGTGGAAAAAAATGTATTATGGCACGAAATATCAACGTGGAAAATCTTTGATGCATATGAATACAATTTGTGAATCACTGGAGATTTCTGCTGCAAATGATTGCTTTAAGGCATTAATAAGGTAAGATTTTAAAAACTGTTGTAATTGTTCTGTATTAGTTTTAAATGTTGTTGTACATGAAGTTTATATGAGAAATTACAATTTTAGGTAAATTAGTCATCACTGCTTCTGGTAAAGATGTTAATAAAAGGCATATTTGAATATTATTGTTAATGTAAATAAATTCTGTTCAGTGTGGTTTGTAATTTTTCAAAATGAATTGCTAATGTTTTTATTATACTATTTAGATGAAGTTTATTGTAGCATATTTTTTTAGTGTGAAATAAACATTTTTATTTTTTGACCGTTATAGAGTCTTAGATGTATACTGAAATTGATTCCTTTGCATAAATGAGTAGAATGATTGTTGAAAAATGTAACACCGATTCACTGCATGGTAAAGATATGGAGCTAAAGTATTTATTGATATGGAATTTAGAATAAAAATGTGGATTTTCATGAAAGTGCTTGGTTGGAAGTATGGGGAATAAAACCTTATTGAATTTGTTGAACACTATAGTTAGCCTTATATGTAAGCTTTCTGAAATAATTTGCGTGTTTTTTAATTTTATTGTGCATAAAAATGGTTAGTGTGAAAAAATAATTTGTGCATTATTTTTTTTAAATGTATTAAAGATACGAGAAAATCTCTTGAAATATTTCAATATTTATTTGGTAATCATAACATTTTTTTGGTTTTTCAAACATTAAGCAAAATTAGCTTCTATATATATCTGGCAAAAAAAATTTAGTTCTCTAAAAGACAAGAACTTGTGTTATAGTTCCAAAATGCATAGCCCCATTGTATAAAATTAGCCCCAATTTAATATTCATTTTGCCTATTTAAAACATTTTAGGTGTGTTGCTTTTCTATCTATTGTTGTAAGTAGTTTAACTGTTTCAAATCAAGTCATATATATCATTTAAATATGATGACCAATTTGAATGCTCTTCCACCAGCTTACATCAAAGCTTACTTGTGTATGAAATTATCTAAGAATGCTGTATGCAGATCATTCAAGATATCTAAAATGATGCGACATCTTATGGATATATCGTTTAACCACTTGCGCTACGACTAAACTTCATGGTGTGGTGCCGTGCGCTACAATATAACAAGCGGTAAAGTGTCTCATTTACTCCACTCTGCATCTGCGAGTGCAATCCAGAGCTGTAACTCAAGAAATAAAAAGATCTCGTTGTTAGGCGACGTGTGCACCCCGTTATTTTCGTTTTTGCACGCGGTTTGAGACAAAAGCATCTCGACGTGCGTAGCACATCTTTTTAGCGCAAGTGGTTAATTATATGAAATAGCTGAACATTGGTTAAATATATAAGTAACTGCTTTTCAAAAGCAGGTATACTGGTTGATCATGAAACAGCCATTTAAATTATCATAAACAAACCATCTTTTAGAAATTACAGATGTAATTGAATGGATTCTTGAATTCTTGAATGGTAATGATTTTTACCATTCAAGGATCTTGAATGGTAAAAATCATTATATTGTTTTTCACTGGATATCAACACAACTTAAAGGAAAAGAACTCTTGTATTGGAATTTTATAAAAAAGCGTTATGCATTTTGAGAGAATAAAACCCAAGTTTTTTTCTTTAGAGAGCAGTCCTACCCCCTTTCCCCCCAAAATAAAACAGATGGAGAAAGTTTACTGTCACCAAATATAAGCAGAAATATTTTATGAGATTGTTTAATACTTTTACAGGTTTTAATAACAGAATTTAATGTACAATAAGTTATTCTGGATTGTTAGAAATGGAATAGCTAGCCTGTTGGCCAAGAAAGAAATTAAAATACATCTTTCCCCAAAACCACTCCAGAAGTTTATTTATAGGAAAATTATTGAAAATTATCATTTATGATTGCTTGGCTGAAAGCTTAAAATAGGTTATAAATATTTCAAACTAAAATATGCTGTATTAGTAACATGGTGCGATGAACTGTGTTCACCTGATATGTTGCGATTTGGAGGTAAAGTAATGCATGTAAGTTTTATTGGAATGAAGACCAGTTTTTATATTTTTGTGAATTCATTATTTCTCTTTTGCTTTATGCAAGTAAGAGTTTTTTTGTTTATTCTATGTATCTGTATGTTTTGTTTGATTTTGTTCTTAATATCTTATTCTGTTTATTGTTTGTACTTAGCAGCTTTTAGCCCTAATTACCTAGTTTGTTTCTCTGATAATTTTTTTCAAAATGAAAACTCAAGTCAAATAGTCAGGTTTTGTCTCGTTTTAAGAGTCCTTAAAGCCTTAATTTTTTTTAATATTTTTTGTCCTTAAAATTCGAATTTCGGCCAAAATCGGCAGAAGGTCTTAATTTAATCATTTGAAATTTCATCTGGTTTACGACTGCTTTTGAGTGTGAATAGCATTTTGAGAATATTTTGGCAATCACGAATATTGGCTATTTTTCAATGGGTGATGGGTTATACTTGTTCTATTTCTATATAAATGCTGGGATACTTAGTTTCGAAGCAAGAAGTAAAACATGGCATTTCAAAATTATTCATTTTTTCTATGAAGAGCTCTTAAAAAAATTTTCGTTCTGCGATGGGAACACCTTTATTAACGGTCTTCTGAATAAAAATTAATTCGAGATTGGGATTTTTTGACGATTTTTTTTTTAAACATTGTAACATTGAAAATTTTCATTCAATAATTGTAATATTTGAAATTAATTAAAAAATAACATTAAAATAAAATAGGTTATTTTTGCTGTCATATTATAAGTTTCGTTTGGCAACTCTTATACAGTATTTCAATCTGAAATATAAACAAGATATAATGCTAAAGACAATTTATAACACAATCTTAGCAAAGCAAAATTAGCTATAATTAATTAAATTGTCTTTTAATTTTCATGGTAAGAGATTTTCCACGTAATTGACTCAGAAAATGTGTCTGTTTCTCTATAAAATTATTTACGTTTTCCCCTCTGAATTTTTCTAAACTATTTCGGCTTTTTGCTGTAAGAATTTGGGAGTAATTTTTCTTTAGGATTACATTGCAGCTTGGAAAGTTGGAGGATGAAAGGCAAGGTTTTTAGACCCACGTTTAAGAAAATGTGACAAAATCAAATATGCCTCATGGTATAATATGTAATGATGTATTACAGAAAGTTTGCGATGAATTTCGTACTTTTGGAGAACGTCGGTAAGAACATGACGCAAATATTTGGAGTTTTACTTCTGATACAGAACTTTTCTAACATGTTATCTTCTCTTTTTTTCTTTACTTTTCTAGACACAGTATGGGAAATATAAAAATCTTCTATCTTATCAATGGACTGGATTATAGAAGGATATTTTAGATAAGAAAAAATTGAAATGGTATTTTAAAGATTCTCTATATGTCTTAAGCATATACAGAGGGCGGGCCTGGCATTTCCCACTATGCACACTCTGAGGATCAAATTTCCTGCCAGTGCCTTTTTAATTTGACAAGCCTGCGCTAAATTCTAAAAGTTTTGCCATTTCTAGATTGTTGCTCTGTTATACTAACCCTAAAATCTGCCATCCCGCTCTGTCTGGCCTTACCAGTCGATTTCATATTTCTTCGATGTTAATTACAAAGAAATAATTGCAGTTTTCCATATATCAAAAGCATTCATTTTTTTTAGAATCACAGAAATCCATAATTAAATCCAAATTTCTAAAATGAAGGAAAATGTTGAAGAATGAAACATATACATAAAGAAAATATTCTTCAAGATGAATGACTTATTCTATTTCCCATGATAGCGTATATCATATAAATAACACTACACACATTCCATTTCAATACTTTATTTTCCATAGCGACACTCTGGAGCTAAGTTTCCCTTACAGTAAATATATAAATGCAACTTCCAATGTACACAAATCCGTTTCATCACAGAATACATTGCAATGCCAATTCTGGCGGCACATGCGCCATTAGCCAAGATTCCGCTTGCGCCAATCAAAATGTCTCAGCTAATACAAACACTCCGGCGTTGAATTAACAATTTCAAACTATTATTTCAATAAATGTAAATATACAGGCACTACAATAACTACTTCGCAAAACAAATCCAATCTTGACAAATATACATGCAAATATTACAACAAATACGTTTATAATAGAAAAACTATCTACATGAAGTATACAGATATCTCGAACATTTCGTTTAGCACATGCTGATAGGCAATCTTACAGTTACTACTCTTATTTTGTTATCACTACCATGAAAAACCTCAGCTATTCTGAGGTTTTCATTCTGAGGTTTGAAGGCAAATGTTCATCCTTTATTAATAAAAGAGTTCCCAACTGAACGTCATCCTTTAAAAATTTCCACTTGTAACATTCTTGTAAATTATTAAGATAATCACATTTCCATATTTTCCAAATTTTTTGTGTCTACTTAGTGATTCTTTGCCATTTAGAAAGTCTGTTTTCATTTATGTTGGACAAATCTGGCTCAGCTAGAGTTGTGATAAGTCTACCAACCAAAAAGACCTGGGGTAAAGTTCAAATTATTGTATAGCGAATTAGAGTAAGAGTCTTGAGTCAATACCCGTCAATTTCAGTTAAAACAGTAAAATTTTCTAAAGTTAACCTGATACCAATATCTCTCAAATGACTCTAAATGATTACCCGGCCTCCCACATTCACCGAAATTTGCGATTTGAGGAATACATTTCCACTCAACCTTCAGTGGTATAAAAATTATCTTAATTATCATCTGGACACTCAACCAATTTTGCATTTTTTGAGTTCTAACTGTACAATAAGTTTTAGAATTATCACTTATTTCCGACATTTTCCCCTTTAGAGAAAAAACGTAAGCTCGAATAAAAGATTGGCTTTTTGGTCTTCACAAGTCAAGTTATGGCTTTGTACTCATAATACATATACTACACATATTGGTTCAAAACTCCTTACTTAATTCTAACTTTATTGCAAATGGGTCGCGAAATCAACACCAGAATGTAATGGATGTGGTGTGACACGCTCTTGGGCAACTCGGCCATTATTTGTAA